CTTGGCATGTTAGTAGAACTGTAAAAATGCCGTTCAACATACATTACCATTGCAATTGACGAAACTGACTCAGAATATTTTTGTTTACATGAATATTTTCTGTCGAACGTTTGGATTAACTTGTTCGTAAGAATGTGGAATGTAGTTTTATCTCTGTTTTTAAAGGGTTTTAAACTATGACCTCTGTTATTTCCTTTTTCTCATATTCGTTTCTATTTTGTTTGTTTCTTTGCTACTTTCAAGGCAATGTTTTGTCTCTCAGAGCAAAGTATTTTTAGTTGGTACATGATATGTGTTTAGATTGTGATTATTTACTTTCAGTATCTTTTAGTATTGTAGTACGTATAAAATCATAGGCATTGTTTAAATGGGTGTTCCAGGTTCAAGAGTGGACACCTGTTCAAGGGTGGACGTTAATCACGATCCAATTGCAATACAGAAGGCTGTTTGAACGGTATTTTAATTGTGTTTTGATCTGATATTAGGCATACGTGTGCCTTTCGATCTTGTTCAAGGAACGGATTTTTTATTTCTTTTTGGCAGTATTTCATGCTAGTATTTTTCGTAGGTTTGATTCGTTAATTTCCTCGATTCCTTTTTTGAGGGGGTAATGATCTATGGCTACATGATTTGTTGTCCTGTTTTTTTCGGGTAGATCTGAGCTTTTATTCACAATAAAAGTAGAATGGGGAGTCCTTGCATTCTTTGTAGCTACGGTCGTATTGGCTGCAAGTGGTACATTTTTTTTTTTTTTTTTTTTTTGACACATTTGTCTCTTGTTCATTTGCCTGGATGTCCCATTCCACAACGGGGATTGTTCAAGGTCTTTTAGATCTGGGCTGTATCCATATTTATTTACTTTCACTTCTATCGAAAATGTTGGTGATCTATATGGGTTCTTTTGATTCTTCTGTTGTAAAGACTGTCTTCTTTTATAGGATTATATGCTTTTCAATTTCGATTTTTCCCTAGATCATTTCCTTGTTTTGGGTTTCTCTGTTTCTTTGAATTACTTCTATAGTTTGTTCTCTTTAAGAAGATCGTTGTATCTTACAATTTAATTGGTTTCCAAATCTTGCGAAGAGCAGACCTTTTCATAGCTACTTGTTTTTATTTTTCTAGAATTCTAGCTTTGGGTGATTAGCTTTTATGCTATGTTTATTAACATGACTTATTTCTTACTTTTATTGTCATTTTACATTTTTCCTTCAATAAAGTAAAAAAAAAAAAAAATATTTGGTGTCGCTTGGTTATTGATTTTATATTTTTGGAATTTAAAACGTTTTTCTCACTGCATGAGTACAACGTTCTTTCTATTAACTTGTTTTAAGTAAGGTTTTGAGCTCCGTAGTAGAGCTGTTGGCTTTGTTTCTTGTTTATAGTATGGGTAATCTTCGCTGTTGCTATCTCGTTTCCTTTCGTTTTATATTAAATGCAAAACTCGGTCCATGCCCAACGCTCTGATCCAGTTCAAGAATTGAGTTCATAAAGGTTTAATTTCACGTGTTGAACATTTTCTCAAGCGAGGGTCACACTAGTTTTCTCTTTCCCAAGATAGCCTCGCCAAAGTGCGGTCAGCTGATCTGACCGGCGAGGCTGTCAGAGATCGCAGGACAGAGAAGACTAGTGTTTATTTATATATTTATTTTCAGTGCTAATGCGTTTGCTTGGATTTCACCGATGAGTTCCATCCGGTTGTTTCGTTGTTCGGTTGTTTTGAATGTGGTTTTCTTCGTTATCATTCTAAATCTTCTCTTGTTCTCTTTGTTTGGTTGTCTTGGTCCATAACAAGGATTATTTCAGTGTTCTCCTGGATCTCTTCATGAACGACATTCACTTTTACTTCACTCGAAATTTTCTTCATTTTTTGAAAGTTCGCTTGTTTCATTGCAATGTCGATCAAGTTCAAAGCTTACGTGTAAATGAAGACGAAAACACAATCACATACGTGCAGTCCCGTATTTAAGCTAACGTTGTTGAACGCAAGGCTCCACCAAAGCCACAGCAGTATTTTAAATGTATGTAACATAAAAGAATATATTCGTAAAATTACCTAAAAGTTACGAAAATGAATTGTAAATAATCTCGTATCCGTCGCCTCACATGCGAACGTCTACACGAACGCGGACTGACATGTAAACAAGACGAGTCGATTCAAAGCTCTGTCACAATGGTAAGGAAACGTAATCATTCGTATGTTCCGTTATTATTAGATTGAAATTTTCCCTTTAGGCTACTTTCTTATTTTACCAAAAGTTTTCTTGATACAGTGGCTTGTGAAATATTCGGTATTTTCTCTATTACAATTTAGTTTTAATATATATGTACCTTGTTTCTGGAATATTCAGTGAAGTGATGGTCATTCTTTTATGGTGTACAGCATGTCTTAATTAGTAACAGTAGCTCAGTGTATACCATAAATAGAGGTAACTATTTCACTTCCTCCCCAGTAGTGTAATTATCAATTGCAAATATCATTTATGCAGAATTGGTAATTTTCTAGAACATGTCTGCCAAACGAATCACAACAATTTTGGTATCGTTGGATTCCTCTCAGTTCAGTTTCCAAATATATAGAAGCTATTGTGCAGAAACCCCCAAACCCCCACATTCTTGTCTCCGATAGCTGGGGAGGGCATGAGAGGTACCAGGGAAATTGCAGAGTAAAATGTAAGTGATATATACTGAATCAGACACTATATTGTTGGTATAGGTTAAAGTTACCGATGCGCATAGATAGAGAGAAATGGACACCACCATCTTATAGAGTGGAAGAAATAGAGTGGGAAAGAACATACTTTAAGCTGCAGCAGCCTTGTAGTCACCACTAAATGACAAAAATATAACGTGCGCTCGCCTTTCAAATTCTAAGTCCAGCATCTTGTTTACCTTGCCAGGAATAACAAAACACTGAATGCTGAACTCATTAATGTGATGTCCAAACTAGTCTGTGTTTTACTACACGCTTGTCAAAACAATATTTGGCTAATTATCAGTATCTTGTGGTCATTTCAAGGTAAAACACAGGTGAGAAATGTTGCATTTTCAGTGTTGTGTTGATTCTGGGTTATTTTTAAGACCTACAGTGGCATCGAAGAATAATTAGACTTAAGTAACCATTCTAGTTTTATATCTGGGCCCATAAAGAGTTCCAAATGACGAAAAAGGTGATTAAAATTGAAGCAATCCCAATGGTACAAAGAAGCCAAAAAAAGTTTGACAATTCCGGATATAAAGGTATTTGATTTATTATTTTACGGTGTGAATGCAGCTCTATCTTGCCATATATACAGAGGTGAAGAAAATGTGTCCCAGGGGGTGTTGAGGGGGCGGAGCCCCTCATCAACCCTCCCCTCGGGCAGTGCTCAAAGGGCACGCCTAATTACTGCAATTTATATATATAATATATATATATTATATATATATATATATATATATATATATATATATATATATATTATATATATATATATATATATATATATATATATATATATGTGGGTCAATACATTTGTTGGGGGGTTTGGAACGTGTGAATTCCTGTAGAGTTTTGCCGAAAGGAGGGTTGGGTTCCTATAGAGTTTTTGATTTCTACCATGTCAGCCCGTAGAATTTCAAAGATGGCAGTTACATCCGTAGAGTTTCATTGGCCGATTTTAAGCATTTTTTGTGCTAGTTTTACGCATTGTTTATCCTCTTATTTAAGCCTGTTTTACCCTATAATTTCCCTGATACTTCATGCCCTCCCCTGCTATCGGGACTATCAAATCAAGATCATCAATGGAGAAATGATACTCGATCTCCTGAACAATTCATTCACAGAAGAAACAATGCCAATATCGATGAAATCATTGGATTTATTGCAGAAAAACATTTTTTTTTTTTCACTCTCTGTAACAAATACCATATTATCTAATGCAACACCCACCCAGGAAAACAAAGAGTCTTCCACGTCTTCACACCAGGAGAGTGTCGGACAAGGGTGGCAGCCCCCCATGGAGGGGTCGCAGGGGGCACAGCCCCCTTCATTAAACAATATAGCGACTGATTCTGTGTATATCATTTGCATTTTACCTCGCAATTTCCCATGTACCTTTCATGCCCTTCTCTGCTATTAGGACCAAAAATTTGGATTGGGGAGGCTTCCATGCAAAAAAAAAAAAAAAAAAAAGGAAAAAAAAACATATTTGCATTGTAGACGGTCAGAGGAATCTAACGATACCGAAATTGTCATGATCTATATAGAGGACGTATTCTAGAAAATTACCAAATATTTTTGTATGTTTTATAGTGTTCTTAATAATAACACGGGTTTGGTAAAGCGTAGCAACCACATGTAGCAACAAGTACTTGGTGAAAACAAACACTCGTTTGTTAAAAAACTCACTGTGCGTGTTTATGGATTCACAGTTTACCAAAGAATATAGATTTATTTGCATGAGAATGCAAAGGAGTTGTTTTGGTATCGGTTATTCAAACCACAACATGATGGGAAAGAAAGGTCTAACCTTTCACATATTCCTAGCTACCTGAAAAATAGAAGTGATAGGTCCAGGTCATTAAACACGTAAATACTGATGAGAGCCCTTGGGCACCTGGTGGAAAATATGATAACATTAGAAATAAAAAAAGGTGTGATATATTAACATGTAGACCAATTAAACTTATCTTCAATAAACTATTCTGAGCAGATGTAAATATATTTTCCACCAAGTGGCCAAGCATTCCCATCAGTGTTTACGTGTATCGTGGGCTGAACCCATTGCTTCCATTTTTCAGGTTTCTTCTCACAATCTGGGATATATGACAGGTTAGACCTTTCTTTCCCATCACATCATGGTTCAAACAACCAACGGAATCGGTAATTCAATGTTAGGCCACTTCAGAGAATTGTAGATCCAAATTTTAGCAGGTAGACAATATGGACACTTTTCCCTACACAGCTTATATTTTCACTTCATGGCTTTTTTTCTCTCTGCTTTTTAACATATCAAAGTATTCATACATTTTCACTCACAATGATAATGTAACTTTCCTTATTTTATGAGAGATATCTGTGAGAGACAGTTTGTTTTCACCAAGTTTCATGGTAACCCCGCCTCATGACGTCATGCTGAATCAGTCTATAGGTAAATATTTAAAGTATTGTTTCACTTTCAGTAATTTTGGAAGTAACGCTTAACACACATTTCTGTGTATAGACTGTTTTTCTGAATGCACTCATTGTGTTTCAAATGAATCTAGTACTATTTGATTACAGTAATTTTTTCTAATATGTCCACAAAATGGATCGCAACAATTTTGGTATTGTTGGATTTCTCTCACTGTGTAAAATGCAATTATGTAGGTTTTATTCCATGGAAACCCCCTCAACCCCCCATTAGCAACAAGCTTGGCCCTGATAGCAGGGGAGGGCATGAAAGGTACCAGAGAAATTGCAGAGTAGAATATGAATCATTCATTATATTGACAAATGCAGGGGATTTTACCCCCCACCCCCACCCCTATGGGGCCTAATCTCCTCCCAAGAAAACAAAGAATCCACAGTAGGAGAGAGCACAGGACAGACTTGGCAACAGCGCTCCCACATGGCAGTCATATGCTCTCTCCTGCCATGAATACGTGGAGGATTCTTTGATTTTCTGGGCAGAGGTTGGGGGTGATAACCCCCTCCATGGGGGATTGTAGAGGGTAAAGCCCTCTGCATTTGACAATATGGTAATTGATGCTGTGCATGTTATTCTTATTTTACCCCACAATTTCCCAGTTACACATCATTTTCTCCTGCCATCCTCTCTACTAGCCATACATTAGTTTGCAAAGAAAATAATGTAGAACAGTGTCTTAGCATAACATGTTAAATCTGATGGCAAGGTCAGATTTTTCAGTTTGTGTTCGGTGTCATTCCAATAATACCTGTTTCCCACAGCCATGTAGAACAAGGTAAAATTTGTCTGTAATGGACAGAATGACCAAATAGACCTTTTTCATCTATGGTATTACCTTTGCAAGATGATAAAAATGTGCAACACATAATACATAGGTACACATTTATAGAAATATATAATGGCACTATGATAATCAAGAAATGAAACCACAATTATACTGATTTTTCTTTAAGAGGTTTTATTCAATAGACCAATATTTTCAAATATATTGATGATTTTTTTTTTTTTTTTTTTTTTTTTTTTTTTTTTTTTTTTTTTTTTTTTTGAAAAACATAATGATGTTCCCTATAGTAAGGGCTTTGTCCATCTACAGTCACTATACAATCCAGTGAATATTCAAGGTTTTATAAGGAATTATGCTACAGGTTTCAAATTACGTCTGTATCACTGGGGTGTAACAAGATGCAGACATCAAACTGCATCCGTATCACTTAAAGGGTTAAGTAAGAATTATCTAATATATAATGCTGAGTAAGCCATTGGAATGATAGTTGATTTGGAAAAATTTCTTGATGATGTAAGAGAAATCCTTAATGTTGTGGTTTCTTTGAGGGCTGACATATATGTATGTATGTACTGTAACTGATATTGCTCCAAATATCTTCAAAAGCCATAGTTTAAGCCAGGAAAGTTGCAGGATGAGGGGAAAAGATGAATGTAGGGGATAACTGTTATTGAAGATGGATTAAACTAATAAACCAAATTTTGCCAGTAATGTGTTGCATGATTCAAAAGACCATGCTGCAGCCATTCATGTCAGTTATTGCTACTCAGTAGTGAAGTTTGTTTAGGAAATCATGGCTTTATATCAGGGATCCCCAAACATTTGAAACCACTGACCCCTTCATGGAATTGGCTTTGATCCCCAGGAATGTACAAAAAATAAGATAATTAAATAATGATAATTAAGTAGATGCCCAGTTTCCATATACATCAGTGGGGGGAACTGCACACCAAACCCTGCTCTCTATTTACATCAGTAGGGGAAACTGTATACCCAGCCTTGTGAAACTGTTGTTCTCTATCCCCTCCCCCTTATGAATGTCTCATGAAATATAGAGTAACAAAATATATAAAGAATATAGAATAAATTTGCAAAAGAAACTAATTATATATGAATTTGAAACATGTATCAAGTTATATTTCATATATTTTTATTTCTTAAATGAATGTCTGCTTTTGACCCCAAAACTACTAACAGCCCTGACATCTGTCAACCCTTTTGTGACCCCTGGTGTATATTAAGGGTGAGGATATAAAACAATGATGCATATAGTCACTATGTCCTATCTGTCTTTACCTTCATGTCTTTGGCTTTCTGGCAAGACAAAGCTTGGTCTGATTCCTTGTATAATGATAGATTTCCACATACCAAATTACCTATCCAATTAGCCATCCCAGATGAAGTCAATCAGATGTTATAATCCTAAACTCCCCCAAAAGCAAAGTCAACATGTATGCGAAGGCCTTCTTGAAAGGTGAACCAAAATACAAATACACACATGTAAACTTTTCTGGCTGGTGTAAGGTGGCTCCCATATGTTGGTCTTGAAACTGCACTTCAGTGTAGGATTGGTAATTAGATACTATGGTTTCACTTCAGTATACTTAGCAGGATGTAGAAATTGATAGTTATTTTTTTAACATCATTATTTGCATGTTATTCTAATGTATAGTTTACTGTATAAACTAATCTGCTTTTGAATTTTCTTCAGTAATTATCTTCTGCTATAATCATTTCTTAAAGATATGGAAAGTAATAGACTACCCAAAAATATAACCAAGCAAATAAAATACTGGGACACATATTAGCAGAAACTTATTAAATGTTCACAAGACATTTGCAAGACTCCATTGTCTTTGTTGATAAGTATGCAGCTTTCTAACAAAATTACTTCAACAATAATAATAGCATATGCAGCATGACACAGTAGTCCCGAGCTGTAGTAAATGCTGCATATTGTTGGTTTTTGCAGTTATCATTGCTTAATAGACTTGTGAGAAGCTGTTTCCACAAATCACTCAGTAATTGCAGCCTCTTAATAAAATTACTATAGCAAATGCTAAATACTTGGTATTTATGCCTCTTTGTTTTTACAGAGTGTGACCCTACACACAGATGTTGGTGACCTGAAGGTTGAGCTGTTCTGTGAGCAGTGTCCAAAAACCTGTGAAAATTTCTTGGCTTTGTGTGCATCCAATTACTATGATGGCTGCCTGTTTCATCGCAACATAAAGGTACTTTTTTTGTTACTTATCCTTCTGCAGACTTCATTTCATGATATACTGTAAATGATACAAACTTAGTTTAGATTGCTAGAATTTAGATGGGCTTTACACAATACTGATTACCAATGAAGAGTGTACACTTAAATAATGCACAAAAGTAGATGGGCTTTACAGTCATAATCACCAACCAAGAATACACATTTGAATTCAAAATGTATCAATGCTATAATTTTTGTTAGTGTTGATATAAGTATTTATGTAGCTACCACCTGATATTGCTTCTAACTTACCATGTTGATAAAAGAAAGCCATTACATGCAAAAGCAGTTTAATGAAAGTTATTTAATGCTACATGAATTTAGCCATATAGGCCTTTTTATCTTAGGAATCACTCATACTTAAAATAAGCAGTCAGTTTTGGGTTGTGCCGCTTTTTTCTAAATGCTCAGTCTTATGAACTTATGATATAATAATTGGACTGTCAAAGTAGTTATGGAAAAATAGAATTTTTTTTTTTTTTGACAAAGGTGTAGTTTGGAGATATCGGGCTCCAAAGTTCAGGATTCTTTTCCCTCGATTTTCTTTTTCTTTTGTTTTCTTTTCTTTCTTTCTTTTCTTTTTTCTTTTTTTCTTTTTTCATATTTTTTAGAATTCTTATCTCTGCATTAATCTTGCTGCATTCTATGGCATTTACATGGTATTCTGAAGTGTAGGTGGTACCTGGTCCCCCCTTTTGCAAAGTACTAATAGCAATAACTGCACATGATTGTAGAAGTAGCATGTGTTGTCCAGGCTTCACAGTGTCGTACCTGACCACTTGAGGTATTTCATAACTATAAAGAACTGTTGCAGCTGTGATTGAAAATTATTTCTTATCATATAATGTTTATTAGATACAAAAATAACAAAAAAATAATGGGCGGGGGGGGGGGGGTCAGATATTTAGTCGTAACTCCTTCATTATTACGTATTTAGCAGAAATATTACGTCAGTGGGTTGCCAAAGCCTAGTAAATTACACAAGATTTTTTTTCAATTTTCAAGTATTTTTTAAAATATTTGTCAAAAAACTATGGCGACGGACCCTTCAACTGTAAAACTAGAAAAAATTTAACATGAAATTTATGAAGTACTTATGTTTTCCTTAACTATTTATATCTGTTGTTTTAAATATACAATGATTTTATTATTGTTATTATTATTTTATTATTATTATTATTATCTACTATTTAGTCTTATCAACTGTCAGTAAATTCACTGTACTTTCATCATCTTGACAACTGTGTACTCTGTACATTTGAATATCATATAAGTCTCTGTTTATTATAGAAACCTCAAATGAGGATAAAATTTTGAGTTCAGCTTATTCATAATATTCTTTTTCACAGGGGTTCATGATCCAGACAGGTGATCCAACAGGTACAGGCAAAGGTGGGCAGTCAATATGGGGAAAGAAATTTGAGGACGAAGTGAGAGATGATTTAAAGGTAGGTGCCAGAGTGCCAGATGATAAGTGTTATAAGTTTGCTTTATTACTTTGCTTGGTATTTTAATTAAGTTCTGATACTATAGTTGATAGTGTCATCGTACATTAAAAATGAAAAAAAAAGTTTCAGAATTAAGCTTGCCTCTTCATGCTTTGTCTTTACTTAGAGACTCTTATAATATTCCTCATAAAATTTTGCAACATTTGCTTTACATTAATGTTTTGTAATTAGAAAGCAATGCAAGGCAACTAAGAGAATTTTTCTTATTATTATTATTATTATTATTATTATTATTATTATTATTATAATATCTTGCTAGACCTGTATAAGTGTACTTGCATGTGTGTGTAAGAGGAGGATGGGAGATGTCATAGATAGGTAGCTTGATCATGATAGGGAGACTTAAGGATTTGTTAAAAGTTTGCAGATACTATGATTTGAGTTGATATTGATAACAAGACTGATGCTACTCATTGCCAGATACGATACTAGTATATACCAATATAAGCTTTTTTCTTCTTTCTTTTCTTTCTTTTTTCTTTTTCTTTCTTTCTTGCTTTCCTTCTTTCTGTCTTTTATTGTATCTGTAATTATGAACTTGTCTGAACCATGTAGTACTTGAAATGGAAAAATATATATATATATATTTTTTTTTTTATGTATTCCTACTTTGCAGTCACTGATACTAAGAAAGAAATGGCAGATGCCATTAATACCAATACTGATAAAAGGACTATAGAATCATCCCAAGGTATCCGCCTGTAATGTTTGAAGTTCGAGTGAATGTTTGATTGATTATGAAAGTCAGGAATACTAAGACTTTGGAGAAAAGATCATGATATGTAGGTTGAGAAGGTGATGTAGGGAAATGACATGATAATTCTTTCTCTTTCCTTCTTTTATGATGTTCTGAAGTTTGATAACTTATCCTCTTTTCTATCCTGTTTTAGTTTATAAGAGTTCACCTCGTGTTGTGTGTGTGTGTGTTGTAGTGTAGCAGTATCTATGTCTATGCTATGGTTTTTAAGTAACTAGGTTCAAAATTAACCAAAACCTATTACTTGCTTAAAGATTAACATGAAAGACCAGTAACTCATCATGGCAAATTAAGAGCATTTGTCAAGGCATCACTGGCTTGGCAAACAGTGGACCAAACACCAATGGCTCTCAATTCTTCATTAACTACTCTCCTCAACCTCATCTGGATCTGAAATATACTGTATTTGGAAAGTAAGTACCTTATCCTTTTTCTCTTTTTCTGCTTTCTATAAAGTATGTGTAATAATTACCAAATACTGGATTAATGTATATATTATATATATAATATATTATATATATATATATATATATATATATAATATATATATATAATATATATATATATATAGCTATATATATATAATATCTATATATATATATATAATATTATATATTATATAGCTAGATATAGAATAGTGATACAACCTACAAAGGCATCTTATTTTGAAAGACATAGATCATGTAAATTCTTTTGTCCTTTGTCCTTTTTTTTGACCAAGCAACTCTCTTTCAGGATCATCGATGGGTTAGACGTTTTGGATGAACTGGAAAAATTACCTGTAAATCCTAAAAACCATAAGCCAACAACAGAAACAAGAATAAATAATGTAACAATTCACGCAAATCCTATTGCAGGATAGTGAAGGTTTATGATGTTTTTGATGAGATATTTGAAATTGAATTTTACAAATAAATAAGGTCAAACTTCTTATGCTAGTTTTGAAACCTTGTTCTTGTAGTCAGGAATAATCTTACTACTGGTTGCCTATTATCATATTAGATAAAAAGTATATGGGATATTGATAATCTTTTATTGATTTTTTTTCTCTTGGAGATGTCAAAAATTGAACTATAAATTCTGGAAGCAAGATATTTATTACAAATTACAGTTTAATGAGAACTATATTTCATATTATTTTAATTTCTTCAGTTCATAGTGAGTTTCATGATGTACCTAATACTTGGAAACTTTGCAAGTTTCCGGTATTTATATCGTTATGACTACGATTAAGTTTCATTTCAAAAGATTTAACTCCATGTCTATATAATATTTTTTCTTCAGTGTAAAGAGAGTTAACTCCACAACTTTCCATATTTCAAGAGAGAGAAAAAAGTATATAAATTATTGATTGAAAGTCATTAATGAAAAATTTAAGGGGACCGTCCCTGAGAATGGCCACCTTTCCCTACTCTATACATCATAAAAAAATATCGGTTAGAGATAACTGATTGATTCTTTTTTGATGCTCTAGAGTAAAGAATTGCGCTCCGTTATATATATAAATTTTTAACTTTGCTCCCCCATAGGGGGGGGCACCCCCAAAAAAGTCGAAAAAAATCTTTTTTTTTTTGGGGGGGGGGTATGTCTTCGTACATCCAACTATCAGAGCTCTTTACAGAATATTCCCCAAAAAATACTAGTGTTAGATCAACTCTAGCCTATAGCCATGTAAAAGGCCGAATTTTGAATTTCCTTTTTTTTTTGGCGGGGGACAGCTTGACATAGAGAACTATTTTTGAATTCTTTTTTCAGCATTAAAATATTATTATTTTTTGATTAAGGCAAAAATTAAAAAATCGGCCTTTTACATGGCTATGGGACGCCGAGGCTCTAGTGAAAGCAACAAACTGCATTTGGATCGCATGAAAATTACGTGAGTTGGGATGTACCGAAGATTCATAAAAAAATGGCGGAGCTACGGCGTTTTGTATTTGGCACCTTGCCAAAGTTCGTTATTCTGTTATTTTTCTTTGAATCTAATGATATTTTATTATATCAAAAAAACGCTTATTTAGTG